TTAGTTGCCTAAAATGTATAAAAGTAGAATAATAAATATTGTTACTGTGCCCATGGTTAGTTGACCTGATACAAATATTAATCACCCAAAAATAGTTGTGGGCACAGGTCTACTGTTATTTTGTGGGTCAAAAGCTGAAAAGTTTGGGAACCACTGATCTAAAGGACCCCCCATTTGATGTTTTGTGACCCAGATCGGACTCGCCAACCCTAACTTTGGTAACCACTTCCCTAAATATACTGATATCTGCTTACACACACGTTTTTAACACTCTCCAGCATTTTTAATAATTCTGCACAGTCAAGAAGTCCTTGGTGACATTTTCTTAGCTCGTCTCGAGTCCAACACTGTGCGTCCTTGAACCCATCACAGTTTCATCCATCCTACCTGACTGACTGACGGGTCCCTCTCCCAGCTGCGGCTCCTCTTCTCTGCCCAGATAAAACGATATTTGTTCCCCTTTAATAAAACACAACAGCGACAGAAAAAGGTGGCAACAATCTAGAAACTGGGTCCATTTCGGGCTCTCCGCTGCTTCGCCTTCAAATCCAATGCGGCAAAAAGCGCAGGAGGCAGATCAGGAGACTGGTTGCGCAGCGGCAGCGGTTCGTCGCATAAAAAAAGACCATAATGACATTACGTTTCAAAGAATAACCGCACGAGATGATAAAACACAATTAAATAAATATAAAACTATAAGACCAAAAAAAAAAAAAAAAATTAAAGATTTCAAGTGTCGCGTGGGAAGCAGAAGCCGCCGCACCGGCTGCAGTCTTAATCTTTTGTTCCCAGCAGGTGTGGCGACTCGCAGGTAACAAGTTAATGCTTTCGCGGGTGACGTCACACCTGTCAGGTGAATCAGAAACCATCCCGAGTAGAATTCCTCAGAGTTAGGGCGGAAATAGTTTATCACCCGCCGCCCTTCCTCTGGGGAGTTTTCAACCTGCACTAAAACCAGAATGCAATGATTTGCAAATCTTAAGTACAAATATTAAACATTAATGACCTTTTTAGACTCGTGTTGTTCATTCATACTCAAATTACCGTCAAATGAGGGGATGCTTAAGACAACAAATTTATATTTAAGTATCAGTCAGTTCAGATTTCGGCATATTTTAAACATAAAAAGTGTAAATAAACAACATTTCAGCACCATGAACAGAGCAGTCACCACATCAGTCTTTACTGCCCTCTAGCGTTCATAGGTTGCAATTGTACAAGTAATTTATTATTATTAATTTCATTCAGTGCTACAATGTTTTGTGGCCAATGATTGGTTTTGGTAGCCATCTGAAGCTGGATTGACTCCAGAAGTTAATGTAAATCCAGATACACCCATGTTTGTGAGATATTTTGCTAACAGACAAACAACCCTGACTCCATAATAAACTAATGATAAAGTTTTCGGACACAATCTTGCACAAAGTGTAGCAATGTGCTGTTAATGATTCTTAGCTACAACCACACAAAATGTGAAATATAATAGGTGCAAAATCAGCTTAGTAGACCTTTTTGTGTTCTATAAAGTCATTTGGCTGTAGCGGCCATTTTGGATGGGATTGGCTCTAAAGATTAATCAATGAAAGGTGTACATTTAATAATTATTACCTGAAAGTTTAATCAGAATCTGTCCAGTGGTCTATGAAATATTTTGCTAACAGAGCTGACTCCAAATAAACAATGGTGAGTCTCAACCACGCAAAATCATAGGTCAGTCTCTGTTAAAAAATAATAATGTAGTTAATTTAAATAATGCTGCAGTGGGTGTTTTCAGTGCTGCTTCTGTCCATCCATACCAAATTATCCTCTTGTCTAATGGAAACCCAGAACTCATTATTTCTTATTAGTACTATTTTTAATTCAGAATAATTAAAAACGTGAAGAACAAAGTAAAAATCTCCCTGGCCTGGCCTCCATGGACTCACTGAGTGAAGCTGTTTTCACGCAGCTTCTGGCTGTCTTCACCCACATGATTCCTCGGTGACCTAAACACCTCCCTGCAAAATCTGTTTCTTAGCAATCAATTCCAGCATGTCTTCTCACGCTGAACCCACTCACTATCATTACCATGAACACTGTCACAAAGCTCTTTAAAAAACAAATTTATTCCTCTACAGACAGGGAAAACAGACGCTGGGAAGGCAGAGCTTGATGAACTCCAGACAAGTCCAAAAAATGTCAAAATAATACTTTTTTTGTGTAAATTTTATTAATTGCATGAATTTTAAATGAAGCAGTAAAAATAACTAGACATGGGTTTTTACGATGTAAAAACAAGTGTGCATTGCCATGTAGCATGTCATTGTAGCATGGCTTTGCCTGCAGCATTGGACTTGCATAATGACCTTTGACCAAGTTCAAATGTGTTTTCTACACCAGCTTGTGCCTGTCACATCAGCAGGTG